CCCCAAAACCCCAAAACCCCAAAACCCCATGAAGTAAATTTTAGTATGAATGTGTTCATGAGTAAAGGGAAAAATTAACATTTTAATTCGATAAATAATAATGCATGTGATAGGATGCATCGGTTTCTAGAGAGCTATATTCATTTAGAAGGTGTCATAATTAGTTTCACCTTGTTAGATTTTAACTATATAACTTCACAGCTTTATTGATATTTACTACCCAGTCTTGGGCATCACCAGGTTCAGTTTCTTTCATAATATACATTTTGCGTGGTGTTTATAATTTGAATGATCCATCCTTAAGAAGTTCGGCTGATACTTCTTAAGTCAAGGGTATTTCACCTCTAAAATCATTCGCATTCTTATAGTATTTCAATCTAGGTTCACTAGTTAAAACAAATATCCTTATCTGATTAATGAAAAATCTATTCTTTTTCTTGAGCTAGCCTCTTTTAATTTCTTTTATATTTAACATATTGTCTCGAACCTGACTCCTAATAGATGGCGGAGAAAAAAAAGTATTTGTTTTTGGAGGTAGTTTTGTATCTCGTCTTTTTTTCAATGTAATTATATTAACCTCGGATTCAGTCCTAGCTAATTTACCAAAAGTTGCAACCTCTTCGACTACTTATTAATTGTAACTCTTTGTCCTTGTTGCAGAGCCATTTGATCTGTTATCCGATCTTTCCGTTTCGCATGTTTGGAATGTTTAAAAAGGAGACTAATCTCTATTTTTCTTAATTGGTGGAGGTTGCCTATAAAGATTATCAAAGTCTATCCCGCTGAAAAATGGATGTCTTTTTAAAGCATTTAAGTCATTGGAGGAGCCCTTTAAACCAGCTCCTAATCGAAGATTAGGTTCTCGTTATAATAACTATTTGATAAGATCCTGAGTCAGGAGATCTATTCCTACAGGAAATCTATATTCCATATTTGTAATTTTTTGCATTGTCTCCCAGACCTAATCACTTTTAAAAGGCAGTTCTCCGACTACCATTTCATATATTAAAACTCCTAATGACCAAAGATCAGAGGCAAAGGTAGTATAATTATCTTCAATCAGCTCAGGTGGGGCATAAAATATTGAACCAACAAAATTTCCTTATTAACTGGCAAGAGATAGGTGGCTTTAACGAGTTTAATTCAAAATATCTATTTCTGAGATTTTCAATGCATCACCGAAATCACACTAAATTATAAGAATTGATCAAAATTGAATCTTACGATTTTGACATGGTAATCACGATCAATAAGAATGTTTTAAGATTATAAATCCCTATGAACAATACTATTTAATTTTAATTGTTATAGAGTTTAAACTATCTCAGCCGCATAAAATCTAGCCAACTCTAATGGAAATTAATGTTTAAATTTCCTAATCATTCTTGCTAAAGTACCTCTCTTCACGTATTCATACATAAAATAAACATAATTATCATCCTATTTAATATAGGTTATTAAATTACGATTTGTTAATGCTTACCTGGAATGTTTAGTATAGTTTGACGATATTCGGATGATTCATTTACATCAGAAGTTTCTTTTCTTAGATAAGATCTTTTTACTTTTTGTTCTAATTTGAATCATTATAAATAAAGGAAATTCTTTACTTTTATTATGTATTTTTTGTCGAGCTTTTTGAGTGCATAATTTTTTTAATTTGGCTTAAATTTAGTCTTGAAAACAGTGCAATAAGTTCCCTTGCCGAGCAAAAGTTCAAATTCAAAATCATCTAGCGTAACTTTGTCTACATTTATACTCTCATGTTCAAGTAAGTCTCCATTTTCATAAATATGAGAGTCATCTTTGTTCTAATATAGAATTAGTCTAATGAAATTTACCTTGAATATATGGGTGTCGATCATAAATCTTACTTCTTTGTATCACTTTCCACTATTAGAGGATCTCTTCTAATCAATAATCTCTGAGGAAGTGAAAGGCCTGTCGTACCTTAAACTAGAAAAGGTTATCTGATTCCGGGAAGATCTTGTTTTTAAGCTATTGTCCGTGAATGGATGCTGCTGGCTTTGCATTGAGGAAGAGTTTGTTCGTGCTTGATCATTTGAAAATCGTGTTAAGGATCTTTATTTATCAAAGTCAGATTTCATTATTAGTATCAAATTAAAGATTATAGTTTTAAGTTGCATTCATTATAAGATCGCTACGCTTAATATAAAATTCATTAACCAATCAGCATATAATTTCGTTTTTTCATTAATGGGGTTTTGGGGTTTTGGGGTTTTGGGGTTTTGGGG